CGTATAGACAAAATAACAATGACAACAATGATCGACCAAATACCAATACAAATAACAATTATAGACTACATAACAATAACAACTATAGGGGAAATAGAAATTATAATAGTAATGGGAACAGAAATAATTATAATAATTACGGGAATAACGAAAATTACAATAACCACAATGACAGGAATCACAGTTATAGGAATTACAGTGACAACAGAGATAACATAAACAATGGACAAAATGTAAATAGTAGAGTTTATATGAATCAGAATAATCGAAATCACCAAAATAAAAATAATTATGAAAATACAAATAACAATCCTAGACAAAGATCAAATTCTGAGAGTAATATGAATCGACAAAGACATATTAATTATATGTCTACAGAAAATAGTGACAATGTAACAGGAACAATGAGTTATTCTGGTACTGATGGCGAACAAAGCCTAAGCCGGGGTGGAAATAGAGAACAGCCTCAAAATTTTTAAATAATTGCACTTTGGACCAAAATTTGTATATTTGTACCTATGAGCATCCAAGGGAGTTCATTAATTTAAACGACAATCTTTCTGAAGAACAAATTGTAGGATTAATTAGTTTAAAAGCAAAAATAAATAATGTAAATGTAGATGTAATTGTTGACACTGGTTCAGAAATATCAATAGTTAATCAAAACATAATAGATAAATTGCCGGAAATACATAAAGATATAGTTAAAATAACAAAATTAAATTTAATTGGAGCAAACAAAAAAAAATTGTGTGAAGCAAATAGATTAATAAATTTAAAGATTACATTAAATAATAAAGATTTATGTTTACAATTAATTCTTGTTCAAAATATGGAAACAGACATAGTAATAGGTAGTGATCAGTTACAAAAATATAATACTGTCATTGATTATGAAATTAAAAAAATAAAAATAGACGGGAATTGGATAGATTTTAGTATAGGTAATTGTGGAAGTTATGAAGAGAAAATGGAAAATGTGAGCAATATGAATGTTTATTGTGTGAGTAATGATAATGATATAAATGATGAGGATAATGATAATTTAAATAATGATATTGTTATTGATTGTGAAGAAAAGTATAAAGGTATAGTGAATGAATTAGTATTAAAATATGATAAGTTGATTTCGAAAGAATCAAGAGTAGCTAGAGAGTACGTGCACAGAATGGAGATTAAAGATGTAGATAATTTTAAAGCAAAAACTTATCCTATTCCTTATAAATATAAAGATAAAGTTAATGATGAAATAAGTAAGTTATTAAATGACGGTATTATAGAGTATAGCAGTACACAATTTGTAAATCCTATTGTAATAGTAAAAAAGAAAAATGATGAAATAAGACTATGTCTGGATGCTAGAATAATAAATAGCATTTCTATACCTCAGTACGAAGCTCCAATGTCAATAGAGGCAATTTTGGGTAGGATAACTAATACAAAAATTTTTTCTAAATTAGATTTAAAACATAGCTTTTGGTTAATACCATTACACAAAGATTGTCGTGATTTTACAGGTTTTTCAATAGATGGAGTTATATACAGATTTTGTGTAGTCCCTTTCGGTATTCAAAGTGCATGTGCTGCATTAGTCCGAGCTTTGCATAAGATTTTAAATAAGTATGAAAAGTTCGTACTTCATTATGTAGATGATATTTTAGTTTTCTCGGAAAGCGAGGAAGAACACAAAAATCATCTAAATATTGTCATGAAAACATTGGATGAAGCAGGCCTAAAGTTGAATATAAATAAATGCCAATTTTATAAAAAAGAAGTAATATATTTGGGTTTTAAAGTAGACTTGCAAGGTGTAGAAATGGATCCTGATCGAATAAAAGTTATAAAAGAATATAAAAAGCCTTGTAATCTAAAAACTTTAAGAGGATTTTTGGGGATGGTTAATTATTTTAAGAGGCTTATTCCTGATTTGACAATTAAAGAAATTCCATTATTAGAATTGCTAAAAAAAGGAGTACAATGGAAGTGGAATATAGAAAGACAAAAGGCATTTCAGGATATTAAGGATATTTTTGAAAATAAAATAAAAATTTATCATCCCATGTATGATAAAGAATTCATTCTGAGGACAGATGCATCCATAGTAAGATTTGCTGGAGTATTGTTACAGGAACAAAATTACCAAGAAGTCCCCATATGTTTTGTTTCAAGAACAACTAAAAAATATGAAAAAAATTACAGTGTAGGAGAATTAGAACTAGCCAGTATAATATTCTGTATAACTAAACTTAGATTTTATTTATTAGGAAATAAATTTGTTATAGAGACAGATAATTTAGGTTTAATATCAATTTTGAAAAATAAGTATGGAAATTGTAGAATACATAGGTGGGCGATACTACTACAAGAATATAATTTTGAGATAAAACATATCGCTGGAAAATTAAATGTCATAACCGACGCAATTACTCGAATGGATGGGAAAGAAGAAAAAAGAAAGGATCAAGTTAAAATTGGAATAAATATTTTGAAAAAAGAAGAAGGAATATTTTCAAAAAGTAAGATAATACAAGATCAAAAGAATTTAACAAAAGAAGACAAAAAAGGGGCAAAATTTAAACAAGAAGTATGGTATAAAGAATATGAAGAAAAAGAGTTGTATGTGATTTCCGAAAATTTAACAAGAGAAGTTGCTATGGAACTTCATAAAAATTATGGACATCCGGGAATCAGAAAGACATGGATATTGTATAGGGAAAATTATATATCGAAAAATGATTATAAAATAATCAAGGATAACTTAAAAACATGTAAAATTTGTCAGTTAGCAAAAAGTAAAAATATGCATAATAAAGGAATACCCAAGTAAATTTTAGCTGATAAACCTTTAAAACTTGTAGCAATAGATTTTATTTCAAATCTAATCCCTAGTTATCAAGGAAATAAAAATATTTTGGTAATAGTAGATATATTTTCGAAATATATTAAAATGTTTCCGTGTAAAAAAACAAATACCAAAATTTTGATTGAAAAATTTAAAATTTATTTTGAAGAACTAGGTAAGCCCGAACAGTGTATTATGGATAATGCCACGTATTTTGTGAATAATAGAATTAAAGCTTTTTTTAAATTAAATGCTATAGAAAACAGATACACAAGTATTAGACATCCTGCGGCAAATCCTACGGAAAGGTATATTCGAGAAATAATAAAATATTTGAGGATTTTAACAAGTAATCAACATAGAAATTGGGAAAACAAATTACCGGACATAGAAAAATTTATGAATGAGTTACCAAGTGTAAATACTTCGGAAGCACCCATATTCCTAATGAAAGGAATAAGACCAACAAGGCCGTGGGAAACAGAAGATAATAAAACATATCAGGAAATAATTGTCCAAGTAAATAAAAAGAACAGTAACATTGCAGAAAAATATATTAAAAGATGTAAAAATAGAATTACGAAACCAATACGATTCGAAAGAGGAGAAATGGTAATAGTAAAGGCACTGAGAGTTCCGAATCATAAAAAAAACATTTGCGCTAAGTTACAATTACCATTTGCAGGCCCTTATGTCATAGTAAATGAAAATGCGGAAAATAGCTATATTTTAAAAGATCCTCATACAAATCTAATAAAAGGAATTTTTCATATAGGACAACTGTATAAATTTTGGTCATAATAATTTAAAATAAAAGTAAAAGGAAATTTGCATTTGAAATTTTACATAAATTAAAAAAAATTTCAAATGTAAATTTGGGAAGTTGAAATGATAACACCCTATATTAAAATATAATAAAACTAAAAATAATAACAATAATAATAATTATAATAATAATAATAATAATAAAAATAATGTTACAACCCTGTATATTTTAAAATTTATAAGGGAGTCATAAGTGAAGACTTTGGGGAAGTAAGGAGAAAAGGATGGTTTCTAGGTTGGAAGATGATTGATTGTCAATTTTGAAATTAAAAAAAAGGAAAATGTCAGAGATTTTTGTAATAGTAATTTATTTTTAAAAGATATGAAAAAGAATTGAAAAAATAATAAGATAACGTTATATTGTATAAACAAATTTTCACAAATTTCATATAAATATAGTTAAAAGTTGTAAGTTATATGGAATAAGATGGTTGTGGGAAAACATTTGTAATGGTGTTCCGGCAAGACATACATAGAAGAAACTGAATAGAGGACAGATAAAGCAAAGACATTAATGGAAATAGATAGTTACATCATAATAGTGAGTAACTTTTATGAACTAATTTTTCGATTAGATCAATAATTGTGCGAGAAAAGATAGTTTTTTTTGTAGTCTTAATTTTAATATGTAGGATAGTTGTGTGAATGAAGAGAGAATGAATATAGTGTAGATTTAGTAATATAGTAACATTCCCATGATTGTAAATAGCGGGATATGTTAATAATTTGTAATTTTAAGGTTGGGAATTAATATTTGATTTATAAATAAAAGTTGTATGCTGATTTTGAAAATTTGTTTATCTAATAATAAATATATAGGGTATAAAGATAATCAATTCATAAGTTTCATTTTTTATTTTATTGAATATTGACAAAATAAAATTAAAATTATAATAACACTAAAATAGAATTAAAATACAATTAAAATAAAATTAAAATATTGTTAAAATAAAATTTAAATAAAATTAAAACAAAATCAAAATAGATACATAAAATAAATTAAATTAAAAAAAATAATAATATTATAATTAGAAGCACCCCTGAGATAAAAAAATAAAAAAAAAAAAAAAAAAAAAAAAAAAAAAAAAAAAAAAAAAAAAAAAAAAATACTTTAATTAAAATTAAAAAATTAAAAGAAGACTTATGTGTAATATCATTACAATATATATTATTATTAAGTGTAAATTTTAACCGACATTTATAGTTATTTGTTATACCTAGTTCATCTTCATTCAGTCCCAGATTTCCAGCAACCCTAAATGGTCTCACATTTAACATAATTTTTTACTTTTCCCGAGTTGTTGAGAACTTTCAATATTCATTTTTATTTTAGATGAACCATTTACAATGCGTTATTTCTGATGGCGTATGTGATTACTGTCATAAATACTTATCAGTAACTCCAGTCAAAGTATATCCAAACAGGAAAATAAAATGTGGCAGATGTTCAACAAGCAACGATGAAGAAGAGGACGTTGGTGTAGATTCTATGTACAATAAAATTGCTGCAAGAATTCTTTTTGAATGCATTAACAAGTTTGATGGCTGTACACAATTATTGCAATCATCGGAAGTAATTGAACACGAAAAAACATGTTTATCCAAAACATTCAAATGCCCTATTTGTTTGGAAGAAATATTTACGTTTTTAATAATTCGCCACTTTCGACTAAATCACCCCGAATCCTTATTAGAAAAACCTAATTTTCAAGTAACTAACTTAAGGAATATAGAAAAAACATTTTTGTACCAATTAGAATCTGATTTGCTTTTCGTGAACTTCCGTGATGTATCTGATTTGTTTGCGGATGATTTGAGACAGTTTTCATTAAACTTTTTATTTCATTTGGGTAAAAACGATTACATTAAAAATTTCAAAATAGATTTCTTTGAAAAAAATACTAACATTTTAAATAAAACTTTTTACACAAGTGGAAACACATCAGTTACATATAATATAACTTTAAATATTACATGTGAGTCAAAGTTGTTGGTAATGTTTCATTTAAATTGTGTCGAATTTAAAAGTTCCATAATCAGTATAATACAACCCAAAATTAATAAAAAAGAAGAAAGTAATAATTTGAAATCTCTACCTCAAGGTAATTCGAATTCAAAGATATTTCATGAACAGCTGGGAGAATATTTAAAAACGCTTTTATTCCAGAAGCGCGATATTTATCCGAATGACAAATTTAAAGAATCAGTCTCATATTTAGAGATTACTGAAAAAGCAACTCTTTCATATATAAAATTATTTGAAAAAGTCACCATTACATTTGCTTGTCGTGTATGTTCGTTAATTTATCCTTTTGTATTTAAAGTCAAAAAATGTATATATTTGTCTGGAAACAATAGTCATTATTATCTACAGTGTTCGGGATGCTTTAATAAAAAAAAGATAGTTACAAAAAATGACTTTGGATTAGACGAATTAAAAAATATTATGTTCTTTTGCATCTGGGATTGTGGAACACTTTGTGTTTTTAACGAGTTGTATATCCATGAAAGAAAATGTATAAAACAAATTTGTCAGAAATGTCCAATTAAATCGTGTTTTTATTATTTCAAACTGTTCGAAATTGAAGATCACGTAAAAAATAAACATTCAATATCAATTTTTCAATCAATCAATTGGAATCACAGGTTAATTAATGTATATTTAGATACTTCTAACCCTGTCATAAAGCATATTATGTTAATATGGTGTGTATGCGTTTTTGTCAAATTTAAATGGGAGCAACCAAATTGGACAATCAGTTTTACTTGTGAATTACCAGGTGTACAAATAAAAGCTAGAATACTTGATAAGAATAATAAAAACATATCTACAATAATTGGAAATGGTTCATTTCCACACAATGAGGAAATACAAGTACATCTAATTTGTTTAAAAAATGAAAATTAAAAATAAGTGTTGAATAAGAAATGAATTGACACATGTGATACCCTGCAGTACACATATCACTTATTATACTTTAACTTTTGGCCCATTTTAAATGCTTATATCGCTGTCCCAGTTCAAAAGTATAATATCTCCAAAATACCCATTTTGAGATAAATTACTTTAAAGATTTTTCTTTACTAATTTGAAAAATTTTTCTTAACTAATTGTTGAATTATTGTAATAGACATTGCCCTTCTTCCTAAAGGCTGTATGTCACGATACTAAATTAAGTACTAAACTTAGCACTAAATTAAGTCATTAATTTAGTACTAAATTTAGAACTAAAAATATTTTTTTCCGTTTGCAACGATACCAATTTTTAGTACTAAATTAACTATAGGCGCACGCGCATTGACGTATTAATACAATAAGCAGAGAAATGAAATATTCTGGGTAAAATAGACAAGTGAAGTAAATGGTGTTTTTATTATCAATTTGACATGACAACAACCAAATACAGCAATGCTACTATAAACCACGAAAAAAATACAATAAAATCTACAAAATCAAACAAGCGAACTTTATTCAAGTCGATAATGCAAAATTTTCGCTAATTAAAAACAAAATGGTACAGAAAATACCGTCGTGTCAATTTTTTCTGTGAAAAACTTCTGCGCAACATTTCGACGCACTTTTAGTACTAAATTTAGTAGAAAATAGAACAAGTTCTAATTAATTAATGACTTTTTAGTACTAAATTTAGTACTAAATTTGCTGTTTGCAACGTAAATTTGTTTAGTACTTAAAAAATGCATTAATTTAGTTCTAAATTTAGTACTTAATTTGGTATCGTGACATACAGCCTTAAGAATACATTCCTATCTCAAACCCTAAAATGTTTGAGATATTACAGTTTTGAACTGGGACACCGATATATACTTTCAAAACTACTGGTATATATCAAAATGCGAATTTCACAAACTTTATTTTTTTTAGAACCTTTTATTTTTACTGAAAATTAACCTAATTATATGACAATTTTTTAAATTGGGTAATGCAGCGAAAAATAATAAAAAAGAAGAGTCACTGTAAACTCCCCCTTCTTTTATCTTATTTCCACGTGGCTGAGCTTTGTCATTGTTGTAATCTTTTCTCGGAGTCCGCCGCATTACCCATACAGCACAAACACATTTCGAAAATATTTCAACAATGTTACATTAAAACGTAAAAATATCCTGTAAACATAATATTTAACAGAAATGAAAATTTGAAATGTTTTAGAAATATTAAATAGTAATATTTCAGAAATGTATTCTAGTTTTTTTTTTCTAATATATTATTAGACTAAAAAAAGACATTTAAAAATATACATGTTTATTTAAAATACACTAATCTCAAACATTGATTCTTAAACAAATAAATAAATAAATATGTTTTAAAGAATATTTCGTAAAATATAGAAGTGAATTGCTTCATTTCCACCAATTCCTTTAAATGTAGGTACTAATTTGAAACAACTAGGTTTTTTTAATAAAATAAAGAAACATTTACTATTATTATAATCTTGTCATTAAGATCAATTAGCAATTTTATTTTTACCTAACTTATCTAGGGATGAAAAACTTCATAAACTAAGATTCTACTCACTATATAGTGTACTTTAGAGTCTAATTATTTAGTTACACTACCGTTTACCGCACTATACTCTGTTTTAATCTAACATCACCTAACTAACTCAAAAGACCTGGTTCTCTTAAGTCTTCTTATTAGATTGACATTGTTGAGGAACTGGATAATCTCAAGGTTTCCATGTTGGAGCAGTCATTGTTGGTGACTACTCGCAAATTATTGTATTGTATTTTCAACTGTCTCCACTTTAAGGTCCCTATGAAGATCAGTATTACGGCAGTGCCAGGATGCATCGACGATGTTCCTTAATACTTTATCCTGGAAACGTTGAATAACTTGTTATTTTTACTAGCACAGCCTCAAAGCTGGCAAATTGCTTCATTTCCAGCAATTCCTTTAAATGCACTAATCTGAAACAAAATATAGGTAATTAAAAAGGATTTATACAAATTATTTGATTAATATTGCTTTAAATTAACTATAATAAAACAATACTCATGTATAAACAAAACATGAAGATCCACCTAAGCAAGCAAACAAACATATACGTGCCACTTTATATGAAGAAAGGCATTGGTCAAAAATCTTATTCCTTTTTAGGCCCTAAAATTTATAACTCATTGCCCTGTGATATTAGAAACGAAATTAAATATCAAATATATAAAAAGAAAATAAAAAAATGTATTTTGAACATGCCACGTGCCTTTGCACATGAAATTATTGAAAATTAAAATTATGTTTAAAATCTTTTTGTATATATACTATTTATTATTATTTTTATTGTTTACATTATTTTAGATAGTAAGGTTCTATATTTTTATGTAAGTCTAAATACTTTTTATATTTCTATTATTTATAAAGAATGTATCATACATATCCCATCTTACAAATCAGATATTCTTCATTAATTGTTGCCCTTTTACAACATAACCCGTTTAGTAACCTTTTGTGTAATATGTATGTTTCAGTAACATTTGCAGAGAAATATTTAACTAAAATATTTCAGAAAAACTTGTGCTTGAAATGTTATATGTTTGAAATATTTCTGAAACATTTCTGAAATAATGTGAGCTGTATGGGCAGAAGGATCTGGTTTATTAAAAATACCAGTTAAGGACTTGCACGTCACTTTGCATAACTTATTTGGACTATAAGTTAGAAGGGACCAAGGGAAGGTGTTATTTATATCCATTCCGCACGCTAATGGTTAATTTTATTTAATTGATTTTTTTGCTAATAAAAGTATTTTATGATAATAAAGACGGCCGAATTTAGTCAAATTATATGAATAATAAAAAAATTATAGCCATCAATAATTTTTGAATTTTCAACTTTAACACCCTATATTTCTAAATAAACGAGTATATTTTTTCTAAGTATGTTAAGTTTAAATCGTCTTATTTTTAATCACAGAAAATCTGTTATTCTGTGTTTATTTATACTTTTATTATATTATATAAATTATGTATTTTTCAAAAATAAATATCTCTTTAATTGACTTTTTTTATTTCCTATAATAAAAATTATAATTTTAAACCATTTTGGTTCTTAAAATATGTATAAAAGCAATTATGGTTGATAAAATTTACAAGTCATTTATTGACGAATATTTTATAAACTATTGCTTTAACCATAACTATATTGTTTCTTTTTAATGCACACAAATTCTCATCAAAATCTGGACTGAATTAAAAAAAATTACTAACTACGTCTCTGGAAATCGGAAACACTAGTCCGCCATATTGAAACACCTTCCTGGCTTAAAAGTGATTTTATCGAGCGAGCGGAACTTATGTTTTTACGATGTTTCAAACTGTCATTTATGTGTATTAAACTGTCACATATATAACAATAATCGATATAAACGAACGCTGAAAGGGGTCTTTAGAGTTAAAAGTGCGAATCGATTGGACCGATTAACCGATCGCACCTAACTGAACAGCCAGTGCTACCAACAACAAATTAATATGTACCTACTCTGATATTTTTTTCTATTTTAATTTATTTAATATTTAGATTTTAGATAGTAACTTTAATGTAGTGATTAATATTTTTTTCGTGAATAGTTTATTAATCTATTATTATCCTAAAAATTATGTTACTATAAAAATTTAAAAGTGGTGATTCAAATAAACCGCCAAATTTGAACTGATGATTTCCGTTTTTTTAGCCAATGAAAGAATGTAAATGGCCGTATCCGGTTCTGTAAAATTTGTCGGCTTTTCAATGGAGATGTTCATTGTGGTGTCAACAGTTTACTAAACATTTATTTCGGGTTATTTCTCCTAATTAATAATTTCGAAACTTGCTGATTATATCTCTCTTATAATAGAGAGATATTTATATACTTTGGAGTTTTCCTAATACTAGTGATAAAATGCCCTCAGCGGCTAGTGTCAAGATTGACAAGCAAATTAGCCCGGAAAATGCATTAGCAGATTCTACCCAAAATTTAACACCCGTTAGGCAAGCTATAACTATTATTGAACATAAAATTAGGAATTTGGAAAAGAGAAAGGTAAGCAATGTTTTTGATTTTCTGTAAAACTTGATTTTTTTTACACACTTGTTAACAATGTCCTCATTTCTTTACTGTGACGTATGTTTTGGTGGAGCCGAATGTTTACAGTTTAAACAGATTAGCTGAATAATAAGCATAAATTTACCGACAACTCTGTACGACCTATATTTTTTCGTCAGAATGCAACAAGACATGTTCTAAATATTTCTATATTTGAGAGTACATTAAAAAACTCTAAATATGTTTGCTTGGTTTCTCTTTTGATGTTTATAACCACTCAATATACATAAATAAATAATAAAGTAACAGATACACAAGTTTTGAGCTATAAAAGGTGAATGTGACATAGTTTTCTAATTTGTTTATTTTCAACTTTCTTTACTATAAAATTGTGTATTATTCATCAGTTTTTGTGCAGTTGTATTTATATATTTGGTTGTTTATTTTATTTTGAGTCATATAGAACAATAATATGAATAATAAACATTAAGATATAATAACAATTAAAGCATATTCAACTTTTAAACTAGTCGAACCATATGGACATAGTAGAAGCATTGTGGAATATTTTGAACTAATTTGGACCAAGCAATAATTTTGTACTTCATATGTAGTTTTTAATTGAAAATAGGAACCTTGCTAATTAATTAGGGTTCCCAACAACTTTATTTTATCCCAGCTTGGTAATCATTTTCCAGGCTGTGTTAATATTCTCACGGGGTTGCTGTGAATCTGAATTAAATACAGCAAAATATTTTTTTGTTACTAAAAAACTTCTGTACTGAGATCTGTATATTCTGTCATTGTTTTCCCCCAATGTATTGGTAACCAGCTGTCACTGACTATCATTACCAGTGGGGTAGTTGTGACAATCATTTTTTCTAAAAAAAATTGAATTTTGTTCTTTTTTTGTATAGAATTATCTTATAAATATACAGTGTTGGCCACTGAATGTTTTCCAATACGGTTTGCACAAGTAGATGTGAAACTTATAGTAAGTTAGCATTAGATGAAGCAAGAAATGAATAATATCAGTGTTACCAGTTTATACTGCCTAACCGCTTTATAAACTTCATTTTAGAGGGCAATTTATTATAATATGTTGAGGAAGATCATTCACATAAACAAAAATATTAGTGGTTCCAATACTGAGCCTTGGTACTTACTCTTTGAGTTAGACTTTTCAATTCTGATTTACAATTACTTTTACATGTATCTTATGTGCATCTAAAGAATAATTAAGCCGTTTAAAATGATGCCCCTGAAACCTAATGCATGTTATTATTTTGAACAATGGATATGTCAATTGAGTCAAAAGATTTGGACAAGTCAAAGTAGAGTGCACCCACATACTGACCTCTAGCCAGCTGTTGATGTATAATAATAATAATAATATTTATTTGGCTTTGAGACACACATATTTACAATATTTTAAAAAGTAGAGACATGATACAATTGAGTTTAAAATAAAGTACAAATTAAAAATAGTATACAATAGGGCAAAAGCATTAGACAATAATTTTAATAAAAAGATACTATTATGGATCACTGAGTATCATTCATAAATTCTGCATAGGAAAACAATACAATATCTTTATTTACCTGAGAAAATATTACATTTTATGGCTTGTCAAATTACAATTAAAACTAAATATTTATAATAAAATTTACCTAAATATAATAATATAAAATTGAAATTTACAAACATTTACAACATAGTTCACTGAATCATTCAGAGGCCACAGTGACAGCCTCCATCTGTATTGATTTAAATTCTTCTAAGCTATGTAGGCAATTATTGGATAACATTTGATTTCTAAAATTAAGTGGTAGCATATTGTATAGCTCAATATAATATTTCTTTGTCCTTTCCAGTCTATACTGGATAGGGACTAAGTTATCTTTGTGCCTTGTATTATAGTTATTGATATCTGAGTGGGAAAAAAATGTGTTAATATTATTTCTTACGAATAGAAGGTTTTGATAGATTATTACTGCATAGAATGTCATAATTTTAAGTTCTGGGAATACTGGTCTACAACTGGCTTGCCAAGAAGCACGTGTTATGGCTCTTATGGCTGATTTTTGCAAAATGAAGACTCTTGAGATATGTGTGTCAGCAGCATTGCCCCAACATATTGTCCCATATGTGAAATGACTATGAAATAGAGAATAGTAAGCAGTAATTGCTGCATCTTGACCATATATTTGGCGTAACAAAGTCCTTCAATATGATCTGTCCATCTGAGATGTGGATCAATTTGAATGCCAAGTGTTTTAACAGAATTATTATTAACTTGTTCACTATTTACTGTAAATAATTGGGAAATAGTTTTTGTGTCATTTAAAAACAGGTCGTTTACAGAAAACTATCTCTTTACCTGAATCATGACATCAGAGTAAACTTTTAGTATTAATACAAAAAGAAGATCATTAATGTATATCAAAAAGAGTAATGGACCTATAGCACTAGATGTTGACTTATTTCTGCAAAAACCATGTTGAAATTTAGTCAAAAGTCTATTATGTTCTAGAAATTTAATGAACCTGTTATTATAGGCCATTTTGAATACTTTAGCCAGTTGACTTTGAATGCAGATGTTCCTATAGTTTGCCATGTCATTTACAGACCCTTTATTTTTATATATAGGAATGGATTTTGATTATTTTAATATGCTAGGATAGTCACCACATAAAAAAGACTTGTTTATAAGTTAGGACATAGGTTAATATTGTTCCATCTATTTTATCTATACCGGCAGATTTTTTACAAGTTGTTTTCTATATAATTTCTGTTATTTCCTTTGGGGTAGTTGGAGTTAAAAATAAGAGTGCTTATAGAAAAATCTTAGAGCTTTGCTTCACTATAATTTGGTAAAAGATAGTCTACATCAGTAAACTGATTATTAAAAGCATTACATATATTTTGTACACCAGAAATTTTGTTGCTTTGACAATTTAGCATATATAGTTGAAGAAAACAGTAATTACACTCTCCATTGACCATGTTAATGTTTAAGATAACATTTGTTAACATACATATTTCTCAAAATCTTTATTATCATGGGGTTTGTGATAGATCTGTAGTTATTTGTCGACAAAAGTCACCCTTTTTTTTTAACATACTGTGATAAACAGGTAACAACATATTTAACTGTTCTCTTAAGCTTCTCAATAAGAGCATTATGGAACATTTTTAATTAAATAATTCTGTACCTTATATTTTTAATTGAAAAAGGTTAAAACAATACTGATTAAAGGCCTTTGTAATCTAGAAAAATATATTGAGAATAATGTTAAAATTTAAACAAGGTACACCTATTTTTTATTTCATAAATATTTTTACATTTATTTGTAAATATATAAAATAATAATTTTCAAATATGTAACTTTATTCCAGATATAGTGTTGTACAGATTTCTGAAAATTATATAGATATTTTGCTTTTCAACAAGGCAGAAACCATTTTAGATCATTCTGAAAATTTAAAAAAATGCAATATCAATTTATTACATATTTAGCAGGTTAAAGCTCTTTATAGAGTTAATTTTTTTTATGTTTTGTTAGTTTTGATTTTAATTATGTTTTTGATAGATTTTTTTTTGTTTACATTTTAACTACACATCTATTTATATATCCTTATTAAATTTAATTTAAAATTTTCAAAAATGAATAAAATATTATATTACTTTTGTCACAGAATTTGTATGAGTCAAAATAAATTCAAATACCTGCTTAATTTTGGCCTTTCCATGTTATAATCCTCTTTAGAACCCCTACAGTTTAGAAAAGCTTAATTTTAACCCTTGATGGCTTATTATTATGGCATAAATACTTTATTCCAAGAAGTTGTACCCAATGGGGAATTATTTTTACTTTCCTATCTGTATACAGGTATAAGGAAAGTATAGGAATCATGATTTTTTTCGACCTCGAGTTTTCGACGGATTTTTACGTTTTAAGGTCTCCTGAATCCGTTTTGACTATTTTTGCGATGATGTCTGTGTGTGTGTTTGTGTGTCACATAACTCATGAACCGATACACAGAAAAACACCAAATTTTAAACTTAAGCTTTGTTCCAGCGTCCAATGAACTGATTAGATTTTGGGCAGAGTCGGAACATCTGGGGGGGTACTTTATAGGTGGTCATTTTTATATTTTATGGAATATATCTGTTATTTACATTTGGAGAAGAAAACTCTTCAAATAAAAGTTACTCCCAATATTATTATCTATAATTTTTGTTTTATACAAAATTTTCCTAAAATGGTCCGTATTCGAGAAATTTGACAAAATGTAAAAAAATATTTTTTTATAAAAATTGTTCAAATAAAAGTTGTTTGTTATATAATTCTCTATAATTTTTATCCTATACATAATTTCTCTAAAATGGACCGTATTCGAGATATTTGAAAAAAATGTGTAAATTTCGAATTTTGAAGAAGACTCAAAAACGGATAAAGAAAAAAACATTAAATTTTAAACTTAAGTTTTATTTCGGCCTGACGTGAAACGATTAGATTTTGGACAAAGTCAGAACATCTGGGGGGGTACTTTATGGGAGGCTGTTTTTATATTTTATGGAATATATCTGTTATTTATGTTAGGAGAAGAAAATTGTTCAAATAAAAGTTACTTCTACTATTATTATCTATAATTTTTGTTTCATGTCAAAATTTCCTGAAATGGTCCGTATTCGAGAAATTTGACAAAATGTAAAGAAAATATTTTTTTATAAAAATTGTTCAAATAAAAGTTGTTTGTTTATATAATTATATAATTCTCTATAATTTTTATCCTATACATAATTTCTCTAAAATAGACCGTATTCGAGATATTTGAAAAAATTGTAAATTTCGAATTTTGAAGAAAACTCAAAAACGGATAAAGAAAAAAACATTAAATTTTAAACTTAAATTTTATTTCGGCCTGACGTGAAATGATTAGATTTTGGACAAAGTCAGAACATCTGGGGGGGTACTTTATGGGAGGCTGT